TTACTATTGTACCCAATAGAATGTTCAGGATTAAAATAAAATAAATTATGCATTACTGGCAGTAAGTGTATTCAACTAGCGATAACTATATTGAGTAAAGTATAGACAATTAATGTCATGTGTATTTGATTCTGTCCTGAAATAACTAACACAATGTAATTATGTTTTTTTAATCACCAGGATGCACCTTTTGTAATAGTTAAGAATAGGTTATATTCCTGATATGTTTTATCAGTAAAATTTCATAAGAAAGTTTTATACCAATTATTTATTATAAAAATATCGTTTTCCTATAAAACATACATTGACTTGATAAACAGCTAAATGTTAATTTTGAAAGTATAGTCAAAACTCTGGCAATGAAAACACATTTACCTTATATCTAAAGTGTGTTTCACATTGTACATGAGAGAAGAACATATAGTCATGTGCCACCTAATGACATTTGGTCAATTACAGGCGGCATATGTAAGAGTGGTCCTATAAGATGATAAAGAAGCTGAAAAAGCCCTATCCCCTAGTGACAGAGTGACGTGGTGAATCGCAGTGCAAGGCATTACTCACGTGTTTGTGGCGGTGCTGGTGCAGACATACCTACCCGACTGCCAGTTGCATGAATGCACAGCACGTATAATTATGTATAGTGCATTATTCTTGATAATGATACTAAATGACTATGTTGCTGGTTTTTGTGTATTCACTGGATTTTTGTCATTATTTTAGAGTGTGCTCCATTACTGACATAAAACAAGTTAACTGTAAGACAGACTTAGGCAGGTCTCTCAGGAGGTATCCAGAAGAAGGAAGGCATTGTTGTCATAGGAGATGACCGCTCCATGCATGTTATTGCCCCTGAAGACCTTCCAGTGGGTCAAGATGTGGAAGTGAAATATAGTGACACTGATCATATTGACCTGTGTAGGCCTAGGCTCATGTGTGTGTTTGGATCTTAGTTGCTAAAAAAAAAAAAAAAAGGAAATAAACTGATAGAATAAGGATATAAGAAAGAAAATTGTAGTTCCCAGCACACTGAAAGACTTCTCAGAATTGAGATACCAGAGCAAGTGAGTTGGAAATACAGGAGATGAGGTTTGGGAAATGGACGATTTGAAACTCATTTTACAGAAGGGTTGTAGGTGTTAATAATAAAGACTGGTCTAGCCTGGCATGACATAGAGTAGATGAACATTAGGCTGAAAGACAGACCAGTTACAGGTGCACAGGTCAAAGAACTATGTAGCAAATTATTAAAGGAATCATTTTTGTGAATATTAAAATCACCAAAGACCATGACAGAAAGTGCTGGATAGAGCAACAGTGAGCAGAGTGCCAAATGCTTACCTGGGGATTCACGATGAACAGGAGCAGTGGTTGTGTAACGGGTGCCCAGCCCATTCCTTGGCCCAGTGAGTATAGAGGCGTGGGCAAGAAGCAAACAGCCAGACTGAGAGGACCATGCAGAACCCAGGTTTCAGTTTGGGCAAGAAGGTGGAGATGGCTTTGTGAGAAGAGCTGGTTGATAGACAGATTTTTGTGTGCACGCTGCATTGAGTCTTGAGGACCTGTGGGGGTTTGGGGCACTAGAGAAGGATGGAAGATGGAGTCCCATTAGGGACTGTGCAGACCTATGAGGAAAGGAAGAATCCTGGTGATGGCAGGCAATTTGGGAGTCCTGAGCTTCTGCTGGTGACTGAGACAAACAGGGAGAGAGCATGACCAGCGTCATCAAGGCAGAGTGAGGGAGCAGGCTGTGAGTGCTGAGGAGGACCCAGGAGGGTGAGCAGAGCCCTGTCCACTCCCACCACCACTTCCACTCCTCACCACCTCCATTCCTACTGGCTGTGGCTGGATTGCTTTTAAAAGGTTACAGTCGAGAACTAAGGAATCTTAAAATGTTAAGAATAGCAACAAGGATTGTCTCACATTGTATATGTGTGAGTAACACATTACATTGCCTTATGTAATGTCATAAATCTTGTCAAGTCATGGCGTATCAAGTATTTCTCTATTCAACACTTACACTGTCTGACGTAGTCACTTTTTAAAAATTCTTTTGTCATTAAACGCTTTTCAATCAAGGAATGTGAACAGTTCTCAGACATTTCTGCTGATTGTGTCCAAATCCTAACTCTTTTTTCAAATATCGAGGTTAATCTAATAGCAAAATATGCTGAAATTGGAAAGTAAGCTGTTGAAAACCAAACAGCAAGAAGCAAATCCTGACAAGTGTCTGACAGCTGGTGCTGTGACTGGTGCTCTCTGGGTTGCGAGGCGCACAATCCGCGCAGCTCCAAGCAGGGGCCCCAAGGACCATTTGCAAAGTAACTCTTATTTCACCAGTACAGCCCAACCAGAAAGAAAAAATACAGAAAAAGAGTGGATGAGAGGCTAATTAATAACACTGCAACTGTCACCTGCATTTCATGAATTGAGGTTTGTATGTTCATCAAAATAACCCGATTTTTCTTAATTAACTGGCTGATATACATTTTTTTTTCTTTTGAGACGGAGTTTCGCTCTTGTTATCCAGGCTGGAGTTCAATGGTGCGATCTCGGCTCACCGCAACCTATGCCTCCTGGGTTCAGGCAATTCTCCTGCCTCAGCCTCCTGAGTAGCTGGGATTACAGGCACGTGCCACCATGCCCAGCTAATTTTTTGTATTTTTAGTAGAGACGGGGTTTCACCATGTTGACCAGGATGGTCTCTCGATCTCTTGACCTCGTGATCCATCCACCTCGGCCTTCCAAAGTGCTGGGATTACAGGCTTTGAGCCACCGCGCCCGGCCAACTAGCCGATATACATTTTAATGTAAAAGGTAAATTTAAGTAAATGAATAAGTTCTCGTCTGTTTATGTACAGTGGTCTCAACGTAAGATTCTATTAGACAAATGATTGCACTTGTTCAAGTACTTGATTTTAATGTAAAAGGTAAATTTAAATAAATGAATAAGCTCCTGTCTGTTTATGTATAGTGATCTCAACATAAGACTCTATTAGACAAATGGTTGCACTTGTTAAACTACTTGAAGTCTCCCACAGACCACTAGAGAGTCTGTGCTTTGCTAACAGGTGTTCTGTGAAAATAATAATTGCAAGTGACAAGTATCTTCACAAATGTTGTAAACAATGTCAGTATCAATGTGATAAAAATCACACATCCTAATTTCATTCTTAGCATGCAATCTGCATTTAAGAAAATAATATGCCTAATCGGAGAAGGCCAGAAGTCACTGACAAGTTATCTGACCTGGAAACACATCACCTTTAACTTGGTCAGGAATTTGCATGCAGAGTTTCTGGTCCATCCGATACATCTTATTTTTCAGTATCAGCATATTCTTGAGATACTATTCAACCTTAATAAATATTATTAACTTTACCTCGCAAATGTATTCCGCTTTGATGTGTTGCTGAGAAGATACATTTGTGAGACCTTTGCATTTTTTTTTCTCAATCATAATACAAAGGGGGCATTATCTGTATTTCTTGAACTAAGTTAAATGTATTATTTCATTATTAAATTTAAAATATGATGTATATTGTGTTCAAATAATTTTGGGAAATGTAGTTCTGGTGCAGTGTTATTCAAGCCTCTATTAGTAAGCAATATGTGTACTTTTGTTTATTAATGAATTATATACACATATTAATATGTAAATTTTAATTACAATGTAATAGAAAACAAAAAAAAATTTTAAGTTGGGTCAATAATTAGAAATACTATGTTGAGTTATGGCGGACACCTTCTCGTGTCTTCTGGGGGGACCAAAGTCGGCCTAAATGAGAACTGACCAACAATTACCAGAGCTAAACCCTCTGCAAGGCCTGGGGGCCGGAAATGTGCTTTGTGTAGTATCAGATGTTGCTATGCACCACACCACAAGAGGGCAGTGGCGGGAAGCCCACAGGCTCCACGGGGAGATGAGGCCCTCCAGTCTACAAGCCAGCAGTGTGGCTTGGAACACCTCGCGGAGCCTCATCTGAGACATTTGAAAATGGAAACAACGTTAACAACGACAACAGACACTAAGTTGATCTATTTTGAAGATTAAATAGGGTAATATATCCAAATTTTTTTCCTAAATTTTAAAGTACTGTATAAAATGCTTATTTTCAATAAACCAGAAGACCTATTGATCTTTTGCCTACTAATCTTATTGCCTACTGATTTATTGGATTTAGCTTGATGTGTCTATGTTCACATTTTTTTGCTACCCTTTGTTCTCTCCGGCATTTTCCTGGTCTTTTTTCTTTTCTGACCCTTTTTCCTTCCTCCCTTTCTCTCTGTTCCCTGAGCTGGCCCTATGTAACTGCTCGCCGACTCTGTACCAGCACTCTTCAGGGAGCTTAATACGTTCTATCTGATTTAATCCTCACAGCGACTGCATACAAAGTACCGTGTCCATCCTCTTTTTACAGACCAGGAATCTGAGGTTAAGAAATGTGTCCAAGGTCCCAGAGCTGGCAAACTATAGAACCAAGCTTCGGGTCTAAGCTGTTCCACTGTGGCAGCAAGTTCCATCAGGAGACAGAAGCAATGCAGTAACAGACACAGGGATTTTAATATAAGAATTAGCAATAATAATAAAAGAAGACTAAACTATAAGACACAAGAAAAAGGCTCAGGGAGGGTACCCGAAGGACAAAAGTAGAAGGGGTCACACCTATTGGGAAAGGTGAGGTTCAGTCACCAGCCTGCAGAGAAGTGCTCTGGTTTAGCTAGCTGGGGTGGGTCTGGAGTTAACCCTCCAACAGGGGGCAAACAATAGGTCACCTTCCCAATGCAGGGCAAGGCCGGCATCGGGAACCACGTGCCTGGATGTGCAGCGGGAGTCCACGATTCCCTTCAGAGCAGTGGGCAGCAAGGAGGCTTGCAAAGGGGGCCCGCAGCTCTGTGTGGACTGCCCCTCCCCCACCACCATCCAGCTGATCATGGGCAGCTCGAGCCATGGAGGGGCTTTGGTTTCAGGGTGAGAAGGCTGTGAAAAACTCATCCTCATGCCGACGCTGCAAGGAGGCAAAAGGATCCCGCCACAGCCATGGGCGCCATCGGACGGCCACACGCTTCTCCCTACCTGCCTCTTCCAACTGCAGTGTCCCTCCAGCGCCCCCTATGGAGAAAGGGTAGCATTGTTCTCACTTTAGTGGAGAAAGGATTCAAGGGATTATACTCTTTATCCAGAGCACAAATCGAAGGGTGCGTTTGGAGCTGGGGGACGATAAACTGGTAACTGGCACGCTGATTATCTTGCACACACACACTCACTTTCCCATACACAGTTCCATGGAGACTTCTGGCATTCATATTTAAGATAAATCAATGAAAGAGGAGTCATTGTCACGCTTCGGGACTGCTAAGGATGGCTGTGTCTTCCACCAGGAGGCAGCAAAGCCAAGCCCTCACCCAGACTTGGCAGCTGCGATGTGCAGTCAGGAATTCCCTGAAAATTCTTATACTCATCATCTTATTGGATATTCTTATACTGATCACCTTGATCAGGACTGAGGAGAAAAAAGAGAGAACCACAGTTACCTCCAGGAATAGTTCTAGTTCAAGTTGGGACCCAAGATATAGAGTGTAGTGAGGAAAAGCCGTGATACCGCAACCTCTTGAAAGCAGAAGCGTGACAGAGAGGACCTGTTTCCAGATGCCAAAGAAGGACAGTTGAGGGCTTAGTTGAAGCCTGCAGCTTTAATTTTGGTTCCAGTTCACCTGGTGGGACACACAGGAGATGCTGCTAGTCACCTCGCTACTCTATTTCAGGCTTTTTACAGACCACAAGAAGCTAATGCAAATTCAGAAATTATTCACAGATTGTTCAGAATATTGAGGACCTGAGACGGCCCTGCACTTGTTCTGATCTTGGTGGCAACTGGCCCCAGAGGTAAAGAGCTTACTAGACGGACCTGGGGGTGGCTCGAGAATATATCCATGGCTTTGGGACAGCAATCAGACCAGGCAAGGAGAGCAGCCAGGAGGCTTGTCTGAAAGCGTAGCAGCACAGCAAGCACCTCTGTTTTTCCCTAGATTATTCAGTGACCGTTCTATAAAATAGCAAATTTTTCTAGTCAAGTCAGTTTTCGTACATATGGAAAATGTGACAGTTGCTCATGTTGAACACAAAGGTGCCTCAGCAGAGACACAATCTCTGATTTTAAGTCTTGACCCTGAAGAGTCGGCTCCTGGGGAGAGCACGTGTTCCTCAGGTCTAAGGCCCACAGGACGGGACTGCAATAGATGTGGGAGGCAAGGCAGCACTTCTGGAAGCATCTGAGATGAACTGTGTTCCCTTCAGTGGGCAAAAACCAAGCAGATGCAGGGACAACCAGACCATACGTGGAAGGAGCGTCTGAGTCTGGCAAAGAGACGACGTGCACCCCTTTGTAGAATTTCACCAAACCTGACCAAGAGAAAGCTCAACTTCAGAGCCTTTCTGCCTTCATTGCCAGAGGTAGCTACACTTTGCCAGTCTCTCTCACCAATTCAGTTCCTGGAACTCTGTGGTGGAGAAACTGTGCAGAAGGGCATCAGTCTATTTCCTGACCTGGGTGGGAGTTACACAGATGTTTTGCTTTGTTCAAGTGAATTGGCTGAAATGCATTGGGCTGTGTTCTCAATGCATGTATGTTACAGTTCAACAAAACCAGTTAAAGTGATGCACGCAGATGGATAAATGTAAAACTATCCAGGACAATTCTTAAGAATAAAAGCCATGTGTAGGAGCTAGTTCTACCAGATTTCTACTATATTATAAAGCTATTATAGTTAGTTGGTTCTGGACCGTGAATGTACAGACAGATCAATAGAGCATGACAACAAGTTCAGAGCTGGGACAAAATATACAGAAGAGGCTAGTACATGATAAGCACAACCTCAAATCTGTGAAAAAAGATAAATTAATCAATAAATGATGTTGCTACCACTGAGAAGCCATGAATGAACAAAAAAAGACCCCTTTCATTTTATACTAGGGGACGACCTCGGGGCGAACGACGAGCTGATCCCCTTCCAGGACGAGGGGGGCGAGGAGCAGGAGCCGAGCAGCGACAGTGCCTCGGCGCAGCGGGACCTAGACGTGGTCAAGTCGTCCCTGGTCAACGAGTCGGAGAACCAGAGCAGCAGCTCGGACTCGGAGGTGGAGAGGCGCCCGCAGCCCGCCCGGGACACTTTCCAGAAGCCGTGGGACTATTTCGCCCAAGTGAGAAGGCCCCAGGACGGCGCGTTCTTTAAAGGACCCCCCTACCCTGGGTACCCCTTCCTGATGATCCTGGACCTGAGTAGCCCGTACCTCTCCAACGGACCCCTGTCTCCCGGAGGAGCGCGCACCTGCCTGCAGATGAAATGGCCCCTCTTCGATGTCCCCTCCAGTGCCACAGTCAAGGACACGAGGTGACCGTGTCCAGCACACTTGTCTAATAAAGTTCCTGTCGTTCAGCACCCACATCACATGCCTCCGCTGACTCCCCTCATTACCTACAGCACTTCTCCCCCCGGCTCCCCGCCCACTCACCTCTCCCCAGAGATCGATCCAAAGACAGGAATCCCCCGGCCTCCTCACCCATCCGAGCTGTCACCGTATTACCCGCTGTCTCCTGGAGTTGTCGGACAAATCCCCCACCCCCTCGGCTGGCTCGTCCCACAGCAAGGCCAGCCCATGTACTCTCATCCTCCCGGTGGCTTCTGGCACCCTTACCCCACCCTCGCCATGAATGCGTCGATGTCCAGCCTGGTCTCCAGCTGGTTCTCACCTCACATGGTGGCTCCTGCCCGCCCTGGCCTGCCCACCTCAGGGATCCCCCACCCCGCCATTGTCTCCCCCATTGACAAGCAGGAACAGGCACCCCCCAGCCTGAGCCCTGCGGTGAGTGCAGAATCACCAGTCACCATGAAAAAGGAGGAGGAAAAGAAGCCCACGTGAAGAAGCCTCTGAATGCCTTCATGTTGTATATGAAGGAGATGAGGGCCAAGGTGGTGGCTGAGTGCACCCTGGAGGAAAGTGCAGCCATTAACCAGATCCTGGGAAGAAAGTGGCAGAACCTGTCTCAAGAACATGCCAAGTACTATGAGCTGGCACGGAAGGAGTGGCAGCTTCACTCGCAGCTCTACCCGACCCGGTCAGCCCGGGACAACCACGGTAAGAAAAAGAAGAGGAAGAGAGAAAAGCAGCTGTCCCAGACACAGTCACAGCAGCAAGTCCAGGAGGCAGAGGGTGCTCTGGCCTCCAAGAGCAAGAAGCCATGTGTTCGGTTCTTGCCCCCTGAGAAGCCCTGTGACAGTCCTGCCTCCTCCCACGGCAGTGTGCTGGACTCTCCTGCCACCCCCTCTGGAGCTTTGGCCTCACCAGCTGCCCCTGCTGCCACCCATTCGGAGCAAGCCCAGCCCCTCTCCCTCACCACCAAGCCAGAAACACCAGGCTCTGTCAGAGGGTGGAAGGTGGGAGAAAGGAGAAGATCAGGAAACATAACTAATGGGTACTAGGCTTAGTGCCTTGGTGATGAAATACAGCAAACCCCCATGACACAGGTTTACCTACCTAACAAACTGCACTTGTACCCCTGAACTGAAAATTAAACTTAAAACGAAATCTGCTTCCGGAATGATTTTGTACCTGAGACTGCAGGATCAGCTCTCCCCTCAATCTGCATTCTGCCATCCTTCCCTACAAATTTTTGTTGTGCCATCCCTGATAGTCACTTGAGCTAATGCTGCCAAACAATCTTCTTTCCCTCTTTCTTGCTCACACTCACTTTACCAAAACCTAACAGAATCTAAAGGAATCGAATGTTAAGGATACGTTTTCTGAATGAGTTCCGGGATTTCTAGAATTTGTGCTCCGGCGTAACTAGATTTAAATGCACGAATGAACCCCATTTCCACGGTGAAGAGAATCCTGATAGTAAATGTGGCTATAGGGATTTGCAAAGTATCACTTTCACATACTTCTAATCAGATGCTTATAAGAGACACGGTTTTCAGTGGCTATGGATTTGCTACCTGAGAATATTTTTGTCAAGCTAATGACTATAAGGAGATTGGCTGGTTGCCCCTCATTGTACTAAGTAAGGGGGAGAAGAAAATGATGAGGTCCAGGAATTGAATCCTCGGTTCCTGCACCATGTGAATAACCTGAAAGTTTCTGTGCCTGTCCTCAAAGACACCTTTATCTTCTGTAGTCTCAGAGCTGAGACTGCTAAAAACTAAACCCAAAATCTTATCAGCGGGTGGCTGAACTACAGTGCAAATTAAATTTCCAATTCTCAGCATGTATACAGTTAAAATGAGGCCACTGATTAAGGAGAAATGGGGGCTGGGCTCAGTGGTTCATGCCTGTAATCCCAGCACTTTGGGAGGCTGAGGTGGGTGGATCACTTGAGATTAGGAATTTGAGACCAGCCTGGCCAACATAGTGAGGCTCTATTGCTACTAAAAAAAAAAAAAAAAAAAAAAATTAGCCTGACATGGTGGCATTTGCCTGTAATCCCAACTACTCTAGAGAGTGAGGCTGGAGAATCAATTGAACCCAAGAGGCGGAGGGTGCAGTGAGCCAAGATTGCACCTCTGCACTCCAGCCTAGGCTACAGAGTGAGACTCGGTCTCAAAAAAAAAAAAAAAGAAGAAGAAGAAGAAATGGGGCCCTGAAAATTGGAATGGGGACCAGTGAGAAAATCCTGATGACAGTGGAAACACTATACCCCTGAATTTGGTTGAGTCTTTTTGCCAGTAGAAGGAGCCTTTCCACCCCCACCTGAGGAGATCGACTCTGATTTTCCTAAGGAGACTGTAATGGGCTCCTATGAGGCAATTGTCTTGCAAGACATTGATGACTTTTCTCAGGACCCATCCCTTCCACCTCTTTTTTCTTCTAAACTAAGGTCCCAGCAGGCCTCCAAAGGGGAGGTACAACAAGTGACCTTGTCATGACAAGGCACACTACACTCCAAAGGAACTACATGGTTTTTCCAGGGTGTGCAGACAGACATTCAGGGAATCCGTGTGGGAATGGATATTAAGAGCATGGCACAGTTGTAGAAGGAATATAAAATTGGATGAGGCTGAATTGATTGCAGAGATTCTAGGCAAAGTTACAGTTTAGGGAGTAAGAAAAGGCCTTAACAGTGACTTTGGTTGGCTGCCCATAACGTGGACCAAAGGGTGGCCCAGTGTGTGTGACCTAGAAATGACAGGCCTGTCTTGGTTTGCAGCAGAGGAAGAGACTCAGAGCATCAGGGAGATTGGAATATTAGAATTAATTTGTCATGAAATGACAAATCACCCACCTTGGAAGGTCCAGATGATTCACCTTTCATCACAATTGTGAAAAATACTTTAGGTCCTAACAGTGTCTTAATCTGAGAAACAAATGTGTCACAAAATGTAAGTTTACTGGGATGAATGAGTGAAAAACCGGGGAGCTGATAACAATATACTCAAACCCAGGCCATAGTCTGAGTAGTAAAACCAGCAAAAAATTCACAAAGGCATTCCCTGAACAATAAAGGTAACGTGCTGGGCGACAATGTCACTAGACCTCATCAATGTCCTAAAAAGAAGCTACATGCAAAACTAAACAGGATGTGCCACACAGATTTTATAGCTGCTAGTTCTATTTTTTTTTTTCAGCTTTCCTGAAATGCTTAGGAAGATGTGATTGTCTCAGTAAATTGTGTGGCACAGCACAGCAGCTTAAATCTGCCTCCAACAAGATGGGTATTCTCTGAAAAGTAAATCCCATTTGCATTCATGGTCATCTTCAACTTGTCTGTGACTGCTAAGTTGTATTTATGAACTTTCTCTTTGATCTCCTCTTCGCTGAGGTAACTTCTCCTCTCTCTCTCTCTCTCTCTCTCTCTTTTTTTTTTTTTTGAGATGGGAGTCTCACTCCATAGCCAGGTGCCAGGCTGGAGTGCAGTGGCGCGATCTTGGCTCACTGCAACCTCCACCTCCCGGGTTCAAGCAATTCTCCTGCCTCAGCCTCCCGAGTAGCGGGGACTACAGGTGCCGCCACCATGTCCAGTAATTTCTGTATTTTTGGTAGACACAGGGTTTCATCATGTTGGCCAGGATGGTCTCGATCTGTTGACCTTGTGATCCGCCCGCCTCGGTTTCCCAAAGTGCTGGAATTACAGGCGTTAGCCGCCGCGCCCGGCCTGGTTTCCTTCTCTTGCTCAACATTGCCCTGCTTTCCTGAAGCAGCAGGTCCTGGTGGTGAAGAAGTCCTGGGCGTCCTCCTCCAGGCCGCTGTAGCCGCTGCTTAAGCTGCCAGTCCCAGCGCGCTGGCGGCTTCCCGGGGGCGCAGGCGGCCGGGCAGGGGGTGCCGCGCGCTCCCCTCGAGGTTCGCGGCGCGCAGTTTCGGGCGTCCTTCTGCAGCTGCGGCCGCCGCTCAGCCCTCTCCCTTCAATTCTATCAGCTTTTGCTTCCCGTGTTTTGAGGCGCGGTTAGATGCATATGTGTTTATTATTGTACTTTCTTCCTGATAGATTAACCCTGTTTTCATTACAAAATACCCCTCATTGTCTTTGGTGACTTGTGTTAAAGTCCCTTGTTTAGGCCGCGCATGGTGGCTCACGCCTGTAATCCCAGCACTTTGGGAGGCCGAGGCAGCGTATCACCTGAGATCAAGAGTTCAAAACCAGCCTAACCAACATGGAGAAACCTCATCTCGCCCGGCGCGGTGGCCCACGCCTGTAATCCCAGCACTTTGGGAGGCCGAGGTGGGTGGATCACGAGGTCAAGAGATCGAGACCATCCTGGTCAACATGGTGAAACGCCGTCTCTACTAAAAATACAAAAAATTAGCTGGGCATGGTGGCGCGTGCCTGTAATCCCAGCTACTCAGGAGGCTGAGGCAGGAGAATTGCCTGAACCCAGGATGCGGAGGTTGCGGTGAGCCGAGATCGTGCCATTGCACTCCAGCCTGGGTAACAAGAGCGAAACTCCGTCTCAAAAATAAAAACAAATTCTCTTGTTTATTTTGTCTAGTATTAGCACAGTTCTTACTGAAACACTAGGGGTTTAAGTCTTGTGCTCACGGCACAGAAATCCAGTCACTGAGACAAGTAGTACTGACAGGAAAGAAGGCTTTCCTCCGGTTCTGCAATTGATGAGGTGGAGATCGGCCTCAGATTCAGCTCCACGACCAACTCAAATGTGGAGTTTAGAGAGCAGGGAAGAAATGTAACCACATGCAGGGAAAAAGGAATTAGGGCGAGGTAACAAGGAGGAATTGGTCAACAGGAAGCAGGTGGTCGCTGAGGCAATTAGGATGGGATGAGGGGTCTCACATCTCTTTATCCAGAGGGGGTACTCTGGTAAATTTCAGTTCTTTGGTACTCTCTGGAAGACCCATCTTGGTTTCCTGAGAAAGGAACTCAGGTAATACAAATGTAACTTTCTCAAATTTCAAGACTGGGAGGGTCAATTTCTAGGTTTATTCAAAAGAAAGCATAAACATCAGTTCTGTGGGACAACTGGGTTGGTTTCAAAGTCACTGCAGCTTTCCTATGGTTGCTAATTCCATGATTATGTTACAGTGTATGGCAAAGGGATTTTACAGATATAATTAAATTAACCTTACAATAGGGAGATTATCTGGGCTGGCTAATCTAATCACATGGGCCTTTAAAGTCTGGGTCTAGAGGTCAGAGGTCAGTGAACTAGGAAGTCAGAGAGATCCAAAACATGTTAGTGATTCGATGAGGAAGAAATTCTTCGTCGCTGATTTTGAAGATCGTGAGAGTCAGTCACAGTGAAAGAAATCAAGTCCTCAGTTCAACAGCTTCATAATTATGCTACCTGCAGATATGAGCTAACAGTATTTTTAAATGCATTTACAATATGTGGTAAACAGATTCACATTGTCTCTGCCTAGTCTTCTCTTTCGCTTTGTCCCTGCATGCTATTACGTCTCTCTAGACTGGGGGACACAACCACGAGGGCTTTGTGCAGCTTTCTCTCCTCTCCTGGAATGCTATGGCTCTCTAGAGCCAGAGAGCTGCTGAAGGTGGCTGAGTACAGGCACCTGATGGTATTAGAAGCCACAGGCCCCTGATTCATCAAGGCTCCAACCTTCACCTACCCCAAAGTTCTAAGAGCCCTCCTTATAGATTCCTATCAGTTTTATACAGATTATTACTCATAAACCCTGCTCCTCCTTGGGCCCTAAGGCCAGGGCTTCTAATATCTTCACCACTTTTGAGGTATCTAGTAACTCTTCCTTCTGAAGTTCCAGTTACTGCATCCCCACTGCATAGCAAGAAGTTACCTGAGGACCAGCCCAAAGCCTCACATGCACATCAGGGCTAAACAGTGACTGGATAGTGTGTCTAGATCAGCCACGGGTATTGGCAAATGTGACAAGGATATTATTTCTAAATGTTAAACACTGCAGAAACACAGTAGAGCTTACTTCCCACATTAAAAGACAACCTGGAGGAGTGTTGTTACATCTCAGGCCAACCATTAATCCCTCCAGAATTACAAGCTGCCTCCCAAAGTTGCCAAGCTACTGCTTAGACAAAGCCTTTAATCTCTGTTATACCCAAACTATCGCCAGGTCCCCACAATTTGCACCTGGCTGCCGCATCTCTAGGAAGACTAAATTATCTATGAGTCAGAGTCTACAGTAAGCCTTCTAAGTCAGTTCAGATCTGTCTCACATACTTTTTGGTTTACAACCATGAAAGGATTCTGAGTGGAGGTGCCCTGACCTTTGACAACTCTCCAATTGGTGCTTGGTACCAGCTTGAGCTATCTTTATTGCTCAAACCAATAGGACAATTTTCTGAGGCCTCAGAGATCCCTGCCTCCAGAGAATCCTGATTTCCCAAAATGTGGTTGAGATCTAAGGTTTATTTTCTGTACAGCTCATTTTCTGGAGTTTTACCTGCTTCCAACCATGAAGGCAAGTTTTCCTGCTTCCGTGATGATGGAGCGCAGGCAATTCCTTTCTGGTTTCAGTTCACTTCTTTTTTTCTTTTTTGCCCTCACCCCCCTCAGCTCACTTCTAACAGGGAAGGAGAGTTTGAGTTTTTTCCTGCTTCTAGGATGGTACAGAGCAGTCTGCAGCCTGGTCGCCATTCCTAGGTAAATAACCAAATCTGTGTTTTGTCTTGGAAATTCTCCTGAATGACTCCAGTTAAGATTAAAAACTAACCGATCATAATTTCCCCTTCCTTCCCAGTGGAGCGCTCGGCAATCATATGAATTGTGTGATCATTAATTTTCTTAACTTTTTGGTTTGGTTTGGTTTTTGTTTTCCTCTTGTTTTCCATTGGGTTTGACCAGTTCTATCTGACTTGATGAAATCCAAAAAAAATGTTCCAAATTATGAGGAACAAGGCCTCTGAATTGGATAATTCCGTGAAAAAAAAATTAATTAAAAATAAAAATTCCACAGATGAAATGTAGAAATTGGGTGGTTAAAAAAAAGATTAAAAAACAATAAAATTAAAATTTTAAAAAGAGAAAGAGCTTGGGGAAAAAAAGCAGCCATCAAGAAAATAAAGGTTTTGGGTACCTAAGGGTCTTTATTTATAACACAGGGCCACTTTTGCTAGCCAAGCCAAACTAAAAGAGCAATGGCTGTCACCTCGTACCCCAGGCTAGAGTTCAGTAGCTAAGGTTCTGCCCCTTTTTTCACAATGACTACCTGGGCTTGGTTCCTATATCTCCCATGTAGCTGGGATTACATGCAAATGCCACCATGCCAGGCTAATTTTTTTTTTTTTTTTTTTTTAGTAGCAATAGGGCCTCACTATGTTGGCCAGGCTGGTCTCAAACTCCTGATCTCAAGTGATCCACCCACCTCAGCCTCCCAAAGTGCTGGGATCACAGGCATGAACCACTGAGCCCAGCCCCCATTTCTTCTTAATCAAGTGGCCTCATTTTAACTGTATACATGCTGAGAATTGGAAATTTAATTTGCACTGTAGTTCAGCCACCCGCTGATAAGATTTTGGGTTTAGTTTTTAGCAGTCTCAGCTCTGAGACTACAGAAGATAAAGGTGTCTTTGAGGACAGGCACAGAAATTTTCAGGTTATTCACATGGTGCAGGAACCGAGGATTCAATTCCTGGACCTCATCATTTTCTTCTCCCCCTTACTTAGTACAATGAGGGGCAACCAGCCAATCTCCTTATAGTCATTAGCTTGACAAAAATATTCTCAGGTAGCAAATCCATAGCCACTGAAAACCGTGTCTCTTATAAGCATCTGATTAGAAGTATGTGAAAGTGATACTTTGCAAATCCCTATAGCCACATTTACTATCAGGATTCTCTTCACCGTGGAAATGGGGTTCATTCGTGCATTTAAATCTAGTTAGGCCGGAGCACAAATTCTAGAAATCCCGGAACTCATTCAGAAAACGTATCCTTAACATTCGATTCCTTTAGATTCTGTTAGGTTTTGGTAAAGTGAGTGTGAGCAAGAAAGAGGGAAAGAAGATTGTTTGGCAGCATTAGCTCAAGTGACTATCAGGGATGGCACAACAAAAATTTGTAGGGAAGGATGGCAGAATGCAGATTGAGGGGAGAGCTGATCCTGCAGTCTCAGGTCCAAAATCATTCCAGAAGCAAATGTTGTTTTAATTTTCAGTTCAGGGTTGCAAGTGCAGTTTGTTAGGTAGGTAAACCTGTGTCATGGGGGTTTGCTGTATTTCATCACCAAGGTACTAAGCCTAGTACCCATTAGTTATGTTTCCTGATCTTCTCCCTTCTCCCACCTTCCACCCTCTGACAGGGCCCAGTGTGAATTGTTCCCCTCCGTTGTTCTCATCATTTAGCTTCCACTTTTAAGTGAGAACTTGCAGTGTTTGTTTTTCTCTTGCTGTGTTACTTTGCTAAGGATAATGTCCTCCAACTCCATCCATGTCCCTGCAAAGGACACGGTCTCATCCTTTTTTATGGCTGCATAGTATTTCATGGTATATAGGTACCATGTTTTCTTAATCCAGTCTATCATTGATGGACATTTAGGTCGATTCTATGGCTTTGCTATCGTGAGTAGTGCTGCAATGAACATACGTGTGCATGTGTCTTTATAAGAGAATAATTTATATTTCTTTGGGTGTGTACCCAGTAATGGGATGGCTGGGTTGAATGATATTTCTGGTCTTTGAGTAATTGCCACTCTGGCTTCCACAATGGCTGCAATGATTTATACTCCCATCAAGAGCATATAAGCAGTCCTTGTTCCTGGAGGCAACATATTTTTTCCCTCACTGGATATCAGTCTTTTAAGACCTTTGACTGGCTGAGGCTGACCCATATTATGGAGGGTAATCTGCTTTTCTCAAACTCTACTGACTTAAATATTAGTCACACCTAAAAAAAAATATGTTTGCCACAACATTTAGACTGATGACTGGTGCTAGAGCAAGAGCTGGGAACCATAGCCTAGCCAAGTTGACACATAAAATTAACCATCACATAGGTACACACATACGTGCAAATGTAATGGCAAATGAAATTCAAAAAGGCCTGGCGCGGTGGCTCATGTCTGTAATCTTAGCACTTTGGGAGGCCGAGGTGGGTGCATCACCTGAGGTCAGGAGTTCAAGACCAGCCTGGCCAACACGGTGAAACCCTGTCTCTACTAAAAATAGAAAAATTAACTGGGCATGGTGGCAGGTGCCTGTAATCCCAGCTACATGGGTGGCTGAGGCAGGAGAATCGCTTGAACCCACGGGGCAGAGGTTTCAGTGAGCAGAGATCATGCCATTTCACTCCAGCCTGCGCAAAAGAACAAAACTCTATCTAAAACAAACAAAACACAAAACACTCAAGAAACATGTTCAACTTTACTGATATTCAGACAAATGCAAACAACCGAAAAAAGAAATATCTTGAATTTGAGAAAGGGTCTAATAGATTCATTTAGTTATTTCAAAATGACAATTATTTTAATGCCTAACAAAATAGTGTGTGACAATTTGTGGTAATACACATATTTTGAGATGGTAACATACGTTGGCATACCAATTCTGGATGGCAATTTGACAGTTATTGAGGTGTAACGAGTTTAAATTTATAATAACCATGTCTTTCTACACAAAAACATTGTATTGTAGGAATTTACCTGAAGATAGAATTGTAATATAGGAGAGATAAATGGATGAGAATGGTCCTCACAGGAAATTAGATATGATAAGAGTTCAACAAGAAGAAATGGTAATGGCCTTCCTTCAAGTAGTTGCACTGCAGGGCATTCTTCTCAGGACCCATCCTCACCACCTCTCTTTGCTTTACATATATGCATAGACTCAGGGTATGAGATATAGTTAAAAATCTAGACTCGATGATACCAGCAACATTGCAGTAACAATAGTTTTGTAAAAGAACATCAATTATATTTTAAAAGTGTTGGGAAAATGTTTGACACAAAATAAATGTTTGGGCTGGCTGCTGTGGCTCACCCCTGTAATCCCAGCCCTTTGTGAGGCTGAAGTGGGCAAATAACTTGAGGTTAGGAGTCATGACCAACCTGGCCAACATGGTGAAACCCCATCACTACTAAAAAGACATAAAGTAGCCAGGCGTGGTGGCGCACACCCAAAATCCCAGCTACCTGGGCAGCTGAGGCAGGAGAAACGCTTGAACTCAGGAAGCAGATGTTGCAATGAGCTGAGATCGTGCCTCTGCACTGCAGCCTGAGCGAGTGAGACTCCAACTAAAAAAAAAAAAAAAAAGCTGAAATTCTCTTCTTCATAAGTTTTTATTTCAAAGGAATAAATATTAAATTTGCCATGGAGAAAGCTGGTAGACCAAGTGGTGGAAGTTGTATCTCCAGGAATGGGACAATTAGACACCATGGGAGGCTCGATATCACGCTCTAAGGGCAATACCACTTTTGTGGATCTTTGCAAAAGTGCATAATCTGAACCAGCTCAAGAAGAAACATCAGAGAAACCCAAATTGAGGGGCATTCTACAAAACCGATGGTTCTTTAAAAAGGTCAGTGTCACGAAAGACAAAGACAGAGTGAAGAACTGTTCGGAGTGGAGGAGACTGAGGAGTCATGTGACTACCGTCAAGGCAACGGAGAATCCTGGACTGGCTTCTGAATCAACAAAATTGTCTTTTGCCATACAGGACATTAGTAGGAAGAATGGCTAAATTTGAGTAAGGTCTGCAGATAGTGACATCCTTGGAGAGCCTGGAGATGAGGACAGAGTGTGAAAACCAATGAAGAAATAACAATCAGTCAAGGCAGAAAGGAATGCATATTTCCGGTTTTATTGTTTTACATCAGGCTGAGCTATGCAAAAATACAGGCTGCAAAGGGATAAAGGTCTGTGCTTTGGGCTTCCCAGAGCAACCACAGATATGCAAAACAAGGTCAGTGAATGGCTTTGTGGGAGAAGTTTTGAGCCCCTGAACTCCAAGACAGAAGAATCCTCTATGCTTGAGCTCAGCCCTCACCAAGACCTAACAGCCACATGGGCAGGCTCAGAAGAAGGAAGGGGAGAGGGAAATATTTGACCATTTGTGCTCTTCTAGGCACAGGGTCCACTTCAGCAGCAGCCTCCAGAGTGCTGGATGCTGCCCCCTCCACAGCAGCTGGAGCCCCCTCCACAGCAGCTGGAGCCCCCTGAGGGCTGGCTGCAGCAGTCAGAGCTCTGGGGTCTGTGGCGGTGGGACCTGGAGCGTCTGTGGTGGCTCAGGCAGCAGCCACCTCCCCCAGAACTGCAGCAGCCCCCAGAGCTGACACTGCAGCAGGAAGACACTGGAGGGCACTTAGGGAAACACTTTGGGGGGCACTTAGGAGCGGGGCACTTGGGAGGGCACTTAGGGGTGCTCTTGGGAGGGGGCTGGCACTGTCGCTGGCTCTGCTGGCAGGACATCTCAGGGGCGGGTGTTCAGGAGCTAGGGGAGAGTCAGACAGTGAGTTAGACCCAGAAAGAGGCCATGACTCCCTATTCTTAGAAAGTTATTCCCTTTCAGCCTAACTTCTGATCCCTTCATTTTGATTAACTGCTTAAATACAGTTGTAGCCAATTAATCTCTGGAAGGTTCATTATTTCTAATAATTGACTAACTACACTTATGGCCTCTGTTTTGAACCTAATGCTCTTAATATAAAATCATAAAGCAGTTTCAGCTGTTTTAGAATTAGAAAACAGGCCAAAAGACATTAAGAAAGCATTCTCAAAATCAAGCCTGGAGTATGTAGAGGAGACATTCTGCTTCAACTGTACACCTGAATCCTGAGAGCAGTCTAGAAGGGGGTTTGGAAATAACATTGTTTTTCAAGGGAAAACCGTGATTCTCTTCTGGAAGAATGTTCTAGATTATCTTGTAAGGACACCGAAGTTCAGAACTGTAAAGAATGTTGTAGAACTGAGGAAAAATATCATGTAATTAAGTTGACTCTTATCCAGGTCCCTGACTTAGTCCAGTGCTGTGACATTTTCAGCAGACGGACACCTGTACCGAATGCTCAGCACTTAGATATTTTTTTTTCGTCTACTTACCACACGGCATGAATATGGGTGATTTTGATGCAAACAACGTCTTCGAGGCATTCTTCGGCGGCCCTGGGGGCTTTAGCTTTGAAGCATCTGGTCCAGGGAATTTCTTTTTCAGTTTGGCTAATGAAGGTCAACCACCCAGAACCCAGAAAATGCAGATTTGCTCAGTTTCATGTTGACTGTGGAAACAGTTCACCTCCTCCCTTCATCGCGTCTCCGTTTACTTAATGCAGTTTCGTTTCCTCAGTTGGATGTCCTGTGTCTCTGTGAGTGGGTGAAGCAAAGGGAACCGATGCTGAAGACCGCGGGCAGGGGAGGGAGGCGGGGGGGTGGGCAGAGAGGCAGCTTGTGAATTTTTGTTTTACTGTTTAACTTTATTAAAAAAGAGAAAAAAAAAAAAGAATTTTTTTTTTTTTTTGAGACAGAGTTTCACTGTTGTTACCCAGACTGGAGTGCAATGGCACAGTCTCGGCTCACCGCTACCTCCGCCTCCTGGGTTCAGGCAATTCTCCTGCCTGAGCCTCCCGAGTAGCTGGGACTACAGGCGCACGCCACCATGCCCAGCTAATTTTTGTATTTTTAGTAGAGACGGGGTTTCACCTTGTTGAGCAGGATGGTCTCGATCTCTTGACCTCGTGATCCGCCCGCCTTGGCCTCCCAAAGTGCTGGGATTACAGGCGTGAGCCACAGCGCCTGGCCAAAAAAAATTTTTTTAAATATAATAAAAAGCAAGACAATATTTTATTGTTATACAGCTTAATGATGGAAGAAAGGGTGTGGTCAATGCATACAGAAAGCTAAGACCATGTTTTAGAATATTTGCAGGGCTTTTGTTTGTTTTGTAAGTCCCCTCTTTTTTTCCCCCCCTCCAGCGTGGTGCTTGAGCATCAATCAGTGTTTGGTGGTTGCTTCTAGCAAGTCTTCTGCTTCATTTATTTTGATTGCTAAGTAAGGAGATCCACCTTTATCTGGGTGATTCAAAATCGTGATTCTCCTATAAGCTGCTCGAATCCTAGCCTTACCAGCAGATGGGCTTACACCTAAAACAAGACTAGCTTCTCGCCTACTCATTTTCTGTTCAAATCCCCCGTTATAGTAGGATGAAATCCTAATCTTTGCAGTTTCTGTGATAACTTGTTCTAGAGGTTTCCAGATCTGAAATGTATAGCGACCTGCAAATACAAGAGCCACAACACCCAGTCCTACAGTTATCAAACTTGTTGACAGTCCCTGCTGGTCGAGGTCGGCGTCGGGATGTTTGGCGGAGGGCGGCAAGTACTCAGCATAGCGCAAGCCCTCGCCGACCGCGGCGACGACAGCACGGGTAGCCATGGAAGTACAGCCGGAGAGACGCAAGGCGCCGCGGCACCACCTACGAGGCAGCTGCGGGGACAAACGGCATTTTTTTTTTTTTTTTTTTGACCAGACGTGACTTAATTTCCTTTTACTATACAGCTTGGCGAGAAAATAAATATCATCAAATAAGGTACAGCACAAGCTTTCTTTTAATATATACTGCATAGATATGACATGTTTAGTATAAACAACATCTATTACAATCTTACAAAAATGAAGTATCTGCACATTTTGCCCCTAAACCACATTAAAATAAATATGCTTTAAATAAAGCAAAACTAACAGCTGAAAGAAAATGCTGAGGATTTTTTTTTTTAAAAATGACCCTTTAAAAGCTATTAATCACAACTTCCCCAACCTTACTTTTCCACATAACTTAAAATAGAATGCAATTGTAAGGATTCTAAATCATTTGATACCGGCTCAAAAGGGATATAAACTAATTTACAGATTCTGACCAGTTTCATCGAGGTTTCTGATCCATAATAAATTAAAATAACTTAAATCTTTACAACTATTTTGTGGGAAAATGTATACTGCACAAAACTCAGGAATTTGATAGTTTTTGTTGTCGCTGCAATTTCCACTTTACCACCAGTTTAAAAGTAAAATGAGGAATTTAACCCATAATTTAACCCAAGTCGATGCGGAACGGTGAAGGCTGCTGCAGCCCTCAGATGTAACGTCTTTCAGGCCTGGGAGCTTGTCAGCGATAAAACTGGGGCTGGTTTTTACCCTCTGATCGGGCTCTACCGCGAGGCGAGGCAAAATGCAGATCCGCTGGTGCGTGTGTAGTCGGAGCCGTTGTGCATTCCGACACCCGTGCTCGCAACGCGGGGTGTTGCGGCCGCCGCACGGGGACACCTAGACGCCCGGACCTGGCGAGAGGTGTAGTGCGCTGTGGTTTCAGGGGCGCCAGGGTCTGCTGCCGCGGGGGGAGGGTGTTTTGTTTTGCGAGCGCGAAGCCTTGGCCTTGGATTTGTTGTGGCCGGCGTGGTGTCGCCCACCCTCCTGCCCCCGCACTTCCTTTGTACGTAGTTAATAAGCAATATCGCCCCACACTCGCTGTCTTTAGCAATCTGGTTGCTTTTGTTTTGATGGTGTCGGGTGGGGGTAGGTAGGGAAACGCGGGGATTCAGAGAGTGAGAACTCCCTGCAGGGTGTGCGGCGGGAGGAGGTGGGGTTTTATTTTCTCAGAAAAATGGAGTGTGGCTTTCTGGTACATTCAAGATGGTAGGGTACTTGTCTCACCAAGTACCATTAAATGTGAGTTTAAGCGACTCAGTTAGCTGTGATACCCTCTACACTGTCTCCATCTCAACGTTTCAAGAAAGGACAGTTTATTTTCCAAGATAAAGATCCCTGTCTAAAAACAGCTACAGGTGAACATGACAATGTTGCAATGCCTTCAGACTAGAGACCCAAGAACTCTAGATCCATCTCATTTCTCCAGAGCACCAAGTCACCATCACAGGACTTCCTCTTCTCATGTCCACTGTCTGTCCCCGTTGCCCTTCCTCAGTTTTTTTGAGACTCCCTCTTTCCTCATATGGATGCCAGCACCACCTCAGCCATGGAGGCCACGCCTGGCCTCCCCTCCTGCCCTGATCAGGGCATCCCTTTGTGGAAGCCCCTTCTCCAGTACCCAGGGGACACTTACCGAGGTCACAGGCAGCACAGAGTCCATTGGCACCTCAGGAGGTGAGTGGATGGGGTGCTCTGGCCCTGAGACCTGTTATCCTGTCCTTGGGCTCTGCCTGCAGCTGTGAGACAGGGCCTGGGCATTAGATGACCTGCCTCCTGACACCCACGTAGGTCCTGTAACAGGTGATGACTGGCAGCTCTGCACATGTCTGCCTTCATGGGTGTTCAGGGAAGCTGCTCCCATAGTGGAATATGGCCATTTCAAAATAGAGCTGGGCTTGGAAAATCCCTGCCATCATCTCCTGTTTTAATCTCCCTGGAGGACACCTGCATTTAAGGCTCTCACTTCTCCTTTTTGGAGCCTTGAAGTTTTGGCCCTAATACTGCCCTTATTGTCTCTCCAATGTTAATGAGCCCGTGCGATCTTGTTCTAATGTGCTGCTATTAAACGTGCTGTGAATGTATTTTCTAAGAAAGTATGTTCTTGTTTGCATTTTAATGGTGTCATTTGATGAACCAGTGTTTTATTTTTAACATAGTTGAATGTCTGCAACAATAACTGTGTTGTTTACACTTTTCATGATTTTAATAAATCTCATCCATTTGTAAGTTCAGAAATCTTTCCCCTATCTTTAAAAAATTGAAAATTTTTTCTTTTTAAAAATGAGGTTTTTATGCAATCAAGAAAGGACTTTTTGAACATTTTAATATATTTTAAACATTTTTCTGAATGGATAACCAATTGTCTTAGTATTGTAATCAAATATTCCATTTTTCCCACTCATCTGAAATATCTCTGGGTCAGAATAAATTTTTCACATTTCTGTAGATTTATAATTGGGGGAACTATTTTTGTCATTGTCAATTTGTCAACACCTCTGAGAACATCCAGCTGCCTTAATTACCATAGGTGTATAATCAATTGTGATATCTGAATCACAGATTCCATCATTTTTTAAGATTGGCTTAGTGATTACTAAACCTTTGCTCTTTTGTGTAAGAACTAGAGCCAGTTTGTCATGCCCCACACAATGAAGATGAAGCAAAACAAAACATTAGAATTTTGATGAAAACATCATTAAGAATATGCATTAATTTATGGACATTTGTCATATTATATTGTAACTTTTTTCTACTCACCCCAAAATATGGTGTATTTCTCTAGTGCGGTATTCTGTAATGCTGTCTAATAGTCTTCTCATTTTGTCAAATGTATCTTACATTAAAATTATGTTTTAGATTTTATGTATTTTTTCTATTTTAAATAACATTTTTAAAAATTATATTTCTGAATTATTTGTTGCTAGTTAATATAGATTTATTCTTACACGTTGTAACTTTTCTAACTCTTAATGTTATTTTAATTTTCTATAGTAATCATTTTTGTCTATATATCTTCTTTCTCAAAGTTTTTCTCAACTT